TCGGAAGAGGGGGAGTTGGTAGGGGACTGAGGCTTGTGTTTGGTTTCCATTCTAACTGAGCTTTAATTCTGTTGAAATTCATGGGATGTATTTCTAAGCATATTTAGATAGATGATAGAGAAAATATTTTCTATTTTGGCCTGTTTATAAAGTATGAGTGGGATGTCCATATTATTCTTTTCAAATTAACATAACCCGTACTTAAAAATGAGAAGGCTTGAGACCTAGTTACTAAGATTTCATTATGAAAAATATTTCATATTAACTTTTTTCTGCATGTGAATTTTTATTAGTTTAATGCTTTACTTCTTTATACCGTAAAGTATAGTGCTTTTAACCCAATAGTAATAAACATTCTGTTCTGATCATAAAACGTCCTGTAATTTTTGTTTCATAAGTGTGTAGTAAGTCTCTCTGTGTACATAGTAGGTCCATTTGTATATATATATTCTGGCAGGGATAATGCAGTGAAAATAATGAAAATTTTGTATAGAAAGGAACTTATGGATATCTTTTGAGTATAAACCAAATTACAAAAGGCAGATGTTCAAATCCACTGCTGCTTTCATGAACAATGGATTTCAGTTATCAGACAAATTACATATCTGAATGTTATATTTACTTTTCAGATTAGAACAAATGGAGTTCATGCTATTCAACTTGAAACACAACTGAACAACGATCCTTTTGAAGATCTGTCCTTTCAGCTGCTCTCTGAATCTAAGATTCAGTCAGTTCAAATGTCACCGGTTGTATCTTTAAACCAAAAGAAGCTGACAAAGTTGCCTTCTGCAACAGACAGTTTTAATACGTTCAGTAACATAAGCATGCCACATACCCTAGCACACAGTAAACCTGGGGTACACATGTGCAGTTCTCTGAATCCATTTGCTACCAGATTAAACAGCACAAATCCATTCACTGAAAAAACTATTACGGCTGGAAATCCATTTAGAACAGAAACTCAAGAGTTTGGAGCAACTTCACATTGTTCAGCAGAAGGACCCACTTCTTATCCTTTTCCATCTCTAAAGCCTCCTATTCATCAAAAAGGCAAAGCTACATTTTATGTTGATACATTTGAAGATGATTTTAGTTTGAAGAGTACATCTTCTATATCTAACAATGGAAAACAAAAAGGATGGGTAACATTTGAAGAGGAGGATTTAGTGTTAACCCTAAAACCATTAGAAAATCCCACTAATTTAAAAAGAGCTTCTTCCCTGCAAGCAACTTATTTTTCACTGGGCACTGAACAAAATATCACTGACTCAGATGTTACTGTTTACAGTGACCATAGCAAAAGTTCTGACTCTTTTCATCTGCTGCCAGCAAGACCCCCTCCTGCACCTCCTATACCATCCAGATCTGCCAGCACCAAATCAGCTACAGATCCTTTAATTTGTTTAGCACCTAAAGTATTACCGACACAAGATTTTATGGAAAGATAAATTATTTAAACTGGGTATAAATGATTTGTTAAAACTTAAGAAATAGAACTGGGCATTGATTTAATTCTGTATGTGCAATACTTTAATCAGATGCACTGAACCTTACCTTTTAGATCACTACATAAAGGTGGCAGGGTGGGGAGTCATGCACAGAATTAATCCCACTAGTGATCTCATTCTGTTCCTTTAAATGGACACAATGCAAGGAAAAGTTATGCTTGTTGAAATTCCACTCTAATTCATAGGAAAGTGTAAAATTAAATGTTCTCTCTTTCAAGACAAGCATGTATTGCTTTCTCTGAATAATGCACATAACTTTTAAAAAATTGTTTCTTGAAAATTCTTATATAAGAATTTAAATACTATTTTAAATCCCCCTCTGTTAGAACATAGAACCACTTCCAGTATCATAACTGGTATATTTATAAGTATTCACCAAAGAACTATCAAAATTTAATTAAGATGCTAATTGTTTAAAGTTAATGTTGGGAAATAAATTATAGTAGAGGTTTATGAAGATTTGTAGAAGTGAATTCCCCCAACAATTGAAATAATTTTAAACAATATATAGTAATATATTTTTCCTGTCATTGCACATGTTTTGTTTTGCAGACATGAGAAAATTTGCTGCAGCATTATTAGTAGTATTCTCCTCCTCCTGGCACTATTCTCATTAAAAAGCTTCCTGTTCCAATATGAATGTTGCTTTCTAAGTAAAGGAAACTTTATATTCATTTTTGATAGGAAGATCTTTGTAAAGAAGTAATTGGATACGTGGTCCATATATTTCAACTCTGCTACCTTTTTCCTTTACAATGTATAGAAGTAATGTGTCTCAGATATGGTATCAATAAACATAACAATGGTTTATGTACTATTCTGACAAGTTAAATGTATCACTTTCCACAGACAAAACATCAGTGTTATAGGTGATGCTTCTGGAGACAGATTCTATAATCTCTTACATAATGCTTTGTAAACTTGCAAATGGTCTGCCTCCATAACTTTTGCAACAGTTGGCATTTAAATGTAGTATTTTCATGTCATGAAGGAAATATATGTCTGTTCAATACTACCGTTAAGCAAGATACAGTCCTTTCTTAGTCATATTGTCACAACTATTTATATTGCTTGCTTTTTTAAATTTATGAAAATCTTTTTGAGGAGCCATGCTAAATATATCTGTTTCTTTTGCTGTATTAGCAGACTGTTATAATATCTCTGTTTACAAAATATTTTCCTTTTGTGGTATCTGAGTGAAGCACCTCATTCCATGGAGCAGTAAAAAATAAACCATCATTTCAAATTCTCTAATACTGTTCCAATGTATTTATATAAATCATCTCATATAACATTGCTTAATCATTAACTACAGTCATCAAATACGGTGACTTCTATATTGTGCTTTTAAAATTGTACATTTTGAAACAGTGGAACTATGATTTTCTGTTTCCATAATGTGATTAACAACATCTGGGTGATCATGCATTGGTATAATGTTAGCAACACAACTGTATTCTGGGTAGTGCAATTAGAGTTCTTTTATATGTGGTCCTTGTTTGAATATTTAATTTCAGTTACTATAGTTTTCCTAGTAAATTTCAAATACAGGCCTCAGCATCTTCAATGGATTATAAAACCTGGCAGCAAAGTACCACAAAAATTGCAACAAAGCATGTATAAGCATAGGATGTTATAATGTGTATTGCTAAGGAAATCTATACCAGAGAGTCAAAGTTACAACAGTCTAAAATGCTATATATTTCATTAAGTGTTTTCCTGTGCAAATTGCTTTGTCAATGTGTAACAGGTTATTGCTTGTGGTACACAATATTTGACTATCTCCATTACAAAATTACAATATTAATATTGATGGTTTACAGTACTGCATATACATATACTGTGAAACATGTTACATTATGAAATAAATTTTCCCATCTTTAGGAATATATCTCCAATTATTGATGCTGTCAGAATTTGGCTTGCCCTTGTGGACTTAAGATTTTCAGATATTTAACTTCTCAAGATGATCTTTATATAAAGGGATAAGACTGATGAAAGCTTTTGCAGAACATCCAATCTGATTGTTCTGCTTGGTTCTTACCCCCATCTCAGATAATTCTTTCTCAATTTCTATGCCCCAACAGTAGTAACTTGTAAAAGTAGACTGGCTACAATAATCTTTTTATGACAATGCTTTTTATACTGTTTGTGAGCTCCCCAGTCTTAGAGGGAGATGGGCAGTACTATATATACATTTGATTAATAATCATTGGAAATTGCCATCAAAGTGGTGTCAACTAAACCACGTAGATTTTCTTCAGGACAATCTGTCCCCAACATGGTTCTTCAAGTCTTCCAATGGTGCATACATTGCCACTGTAATTTAGTCCATATAGCTTGCTGCTGATTGTCCTCTTCTTCTCCATCATTATATCTTTCCCAGCATTATGGACTTCTCCAGAGAGCTAGGCCTTTGCATAATGGGTCCAGATTTCTCTTTGCAGCTTCAGATTTTCTTTTCCTATATGGCAGTATCAGCAACTAGTCATCCTAAAGGCTTTAATCTACCAACATCATAATATTAATACTCAAAAGATCCTCAACTCTTCATCAGTAATGTGTTGAGTGCCATCTGACTGAGGAGCCCATCATCTGGCACCACATTGTCAATCACTTTACAGTATATTGTCTTTCCATGTGGTTTTCTTGATAAAATATATATATATGGAAGTGGTTTACCGTTACCTTTCCCTGCATAGTATGAAATGTCTTTGCCATTGTCACTAAAGTGATTGTCCATTTATACTATCTTCCTCTATCACTGCTGCCCAATATAGGTGTGTGCTTGTTTTAGCTTGGCAGCTGGGATGACTTTTATGCCTTGAGTTACCCTGTTGGGATTGTATGCTCTTGGCATACACCCCCAGCATTCTTCACCTCTCTCTCCCAGGAATGCCCTCCCCCTGCCATGATGAGGCAACACAGGAGGACTGGGAGGAAAGGAGGGCTCATACTATATGACAGTTTAATACAGTATGCCAAAAAACTCGAGGTAGCCGTGTTGGCTAGAAGAAACATCAATGGTAAGAAAAATACCTTTATTATGCAAACTTAATGTTACAAAATAGTGTGATCAAAAATACTAAATCACGCAAAATGGTAAATAATACAAAATGGACTCCCACAAGAACGGTGGGGGAGAAGAAAGCAGAGAATAGTTGAGATCCGTTTTGAAGCTATACAATTCAATTAACCTGCCTTCACCCTTATGCAAAAAAATTCCACAGAAGACAGTGGTACAGGGTCACCAAATAGGAGGTTGCACGCGCCAGCGGCTACAGTTCGCAGATCAAAGACTTCCGAGCGTTCGCGCACTTTTCCCTCTCTGCAGCAAAGCGTGTTTCTATAGCAACCCTACCCGGCCCAATGAAAAATGCTCTGTCCTTTCTAGAGGCGGTGTCGGTGTCTTTGAGTGACGGGGAAGTTGTGGTTCTTCCGAGAGGTCACCGTCGATCTCCTATTTCGGATTGGCTTTCAGGACGAACGCTTCCTGGGTCGAGAGGAGTATCTCGTGTACCGAGCCCGAGTCCCGAGCCCCGGCTACTGCCGCGCTTCTGCTAGAGTAGAGCGGGAAATTTGGCCTCCAGGCTTAGCTATAAATTGACCGATCCAGGTGAGAAATGTTCTGCTGTTGGCTGTTGGGGGACATAGAGAAGATTCAGTTGTTCGTTCCGCCACTGCGTCCGTTGGTTTCCATGGATACCGACTACAAATTTACTGCTCCTCGCCCTTACTCAGGCGCTTTTTCCTTTTCGTTTTCGTTTTCACTGTTTCCTCAACAATTGTGTCAGATGAGCTTCATAAACGCAGTCGATTATTTATGGGGCTGAACCTGGTTTCCAGTTTCAAGGTTTTCTACGTTCTTTGCGCATAATCACTTTTCTACTTTATGTTTCTGTACCTTTGTTTCTACTCCAGATTGATTATGCGTTGATGAGAAAACTGCCTCTGCTGGATTTCTGCCTCTCATATTACTGTCAAAGAAACATCATTTTTCTTTAAAAAAAAAACAGTATAAAAGTTGTAGGAAATGAAGAATGAGGCCCATTTTATCCAGGTCTGAATTAAGAAATTAATCAAGTACATTGTATATATTAAAGGGCATCTTTCCTAAGTGTGGTTTTTCATGTCATATATTCTGAGATTGAGATGAGATTTAAGTTGAGAACTGTATATTCACTTACTGTCAAAAGAGAGATTTTATAGTCAGAGTGAAATGCTGCAGCTTCATGCAAATGTTAGCTTGCATGACACCATAATCTGTAAAGTAAGATCTGGATAATGCTTTAAAACTTTGTAATGCTTAGCTGTAATTAGGTGTGTAGATACAACTATCATCCCTTTCTCATATTCATATTTAAGGTGTACAGACCAAGGTAGTGGAGCTTGAGACCATAGGTAATGGGGGGCTTGAAATTCCAGGGAGATTGAGGCAGATGAGCAAGACACTGAATGTGCCACATTGCAGAATCTGTTTTGGAAATGGATTTTACAGCTTTGTGCTATCGAAGAATTCTGTAACAATATTCATTTGCTAAATTCTTAGTGCTTCTGTGTGGAAAGCACTAAGTCCTGGGGAGGAAAGTTAAATCATATATCTGTGAGCTAGGGTTCAATGTAAATTGTTCTATCTTAGCTTTAATTTTTAAAAAATCCTTTGTATAGCTGCTAGTTATACAATTAATTTATATATTGTTTATTTAAAATAGTTTTAGGCTGTAGATCTCTCAAGATGACTTGCAGATTACATATAATACCAGGTTTATAAAAATACATCTCAGTATGAGGCCATCAAAGATAAGTGCATTTTGTGAGCTTTCTTCAACTGAAGCTTTGTCAGGTCAAAAAATAAACCATAAAGGTAGTTTGACAATTAATCCAGAACTGCTTAAACCTTTAAAAGTTAAAATCAATACTTTAAATAGGGCTAAAAATGCACTAAAAGCCAATGCAGCTGTTGTAAAATAAGTGTCACATGAACTTAGTGTCTAATGCTCAATAGTGCTTTATGTTCACATTCTACACCACTTGAATTTCTGTACAGTACTGTCCTTAAAAGTAGCATCACATACTGTACTCCAACCTCAGTATCAGTACTGAAAACTGAAAGCAAGTTTAATGTTTGCCTAAGTATTGCAGCAGCTGCACCTATTTAAAAAGTGCTCTTGGCCTCTGTTGTCACTTGATCTACCCTGCAGGTCACCTTAACTGGAATTGCCCCTAGGATTGTTGATGCTGAATCTAACCAAAATTACCTTCAAATCCCAAATCAAATGTTCAGTGGCCTGTCTGATATCAGGAAATGGTAATTAGAGGGTGAGTTAACTATAATCTACATACTGATAAATCTTCATACAAGTTCCAGACAGTTTATTCTGTGCCTTTATGTAGATCTTGGAAACTCTGGAGAATAATGTAGAATTTTATAGCGCCACATAGAATACTGACCACAGAATGGAAAATTACCCCAGTATTATTTAATCTTCTAAGAGGGAGGCTGGGGGAAATGGGCGGCATACAAATTTAATAAATGAATGAATGAATGCCAGGAAAGACTGTTATGCTACACCTTCTAACCTAGTTCTAACCAGGATACATGATCCAAAACATTACACTGATTGTTGATATCAAAAGTTGCTGCAAGGTTCAGGAGAACTATCAGAGTTGTATTCTGGGAGGCAGGGGTGGCGCTGTGGACAGGCAATGACATCTTGGTGGTGATAGGCAAAGGAAGATACGGTAGAAACCTGGGGTCTGGCTGTTCTCAGAGAATATGTTGTCAGTGTTTAGTGCCAATGCCACATTACAGTTCCCTGGTCTCTGCCCCAGTGCCCAGTCATCAGAGCTGAGGAGACCCTGGTCTCCAGTTGCTGCTTCTCAGTGCCAAGTTGTCTTGTAATAAAATCTCACTCATCCCTGATTTGATCTTGGATGTGAGGCTTGGCCTACTGTGCATTACCAAGACCTGGTTTGGCATAGAATTTGGAGGAGGGGGGGAATCCTCTTAGAAATGTTGTAGTAGAAAATTCCCCGCCACCACGACCAAAAAGGGTCTTTTTAAACTGGAGGGCAGGATACCAGTACATTAAAGTATATTGATGTTATTGAACAATTTTGGCACCCACAAAGCACTGATAGGGATGGGGTTACAGAACCTCTTAAAGGTGTATGCAAATGAATTCCTCCATTTGATTGGCTATATTCTAATTATAGTATGTCACCCACATTATTGGTTATTATCATTAAACTTTGACAAAATTACCTCTTGATTGGTTTGGTTAATGCATATTTTAATATGTAGAGGAGCAAGATCAATGAGATCACCTTTTTCTACATAATAGAAGGCTTTAATTAAAAAATAAGACTTTATAATGTATCTTAAATTGGTTAGTTTCCCTAGCCACTATCTAAAATACCTTGATTTAGCAGCTAGCGTTCTGCTAAGTTCTCAGTCATTTTAGTATACTTGAAAAGCAAGCTTGCATTCTTGTGGTTGACACTTTCATTTATCTTGTTAAGCACAGCTAGGAATTCCAGGCTCCAGCTCACTTTTTCCAGTTTTACAAAAGGCCTATTTTACTAATTCTACTCTAAAGGTTCTTTAATATATAGAACTGGGGTTTCTCTAAATATTGCCCCCAAATTCTACTTCAGTGCCCAATTGGGTTTTGTGTCTGGCATCAGCTGCAACCCCAGGGCAGAGGCAGGAGGTAGATTTTGTCATCTAGGAGATCTTATGACAGTCAGGGATAACTGGATGTGAGATCCTGTTTGTGAATGTGTGTTCTAGGAATTAGATGGAATTGCCACCTTGCTGGTAATTGCTTCCCTACCCAAGCTGCTGGATGCTATGTCCAGGGTAGCAGTGTAGTTCCCAAAGCTTATGGTTTGGAGGACTTCATCTTCCTTCGCTAGGCACAGAGTCAGAAGCAGCTTGAGTTCATGGCTACTATGGCAAGAACAGACCTGTCCCAGGCTATTGAAGGCCTGACACACATGAGGAGACACATACCACATGTGCATTTTGTCTAGGTGCAATGGTGACATGATCTGGAGTTGGGAGATGATGCTTTTACTCCCTTTTCATGGACAGATTGTTCCCTGTTAATCCTGGAGTTTCTACAGCCCCCCCCCCGCCCCGCTAGGGAAGAAATAACCTATTGGATCAGTGTGTTATAGGGGCCTGATGGACCTGATAGGAACTTGGGGTTATCCCAGAAGTTCTGATACATGGTTTGACTGAGGCTTTAGGTGCTACCTGGAATGGATGGAGGATGGTCCCTGTGCAAGTCTCTCTATTGGCCTCTGAGTGCAATGACATAGGACTGGATTATTTGCAGGACTGCCTTTTCCCAGTTGTTTTTGCCTGTCACACAGGGTGGGCATGCTCAAGGTCCCATTTTTTAAAGCAAAGCCATCTAATGGAATCTGTGAGATGTGTCCTCTCTGTTACTGCACATGCCTTTTGGATTGAGCTCATTTCCCCACATATTGGACCATAATGGTAAATGAGCCTGTTTTGTGATATTAATGAGTATTATTTTCACCAGCCTCGATTCTGTATTATTTATATATTGTTTTTTGCTTTCCTGTGTTGGTTTTGTATTGTACCTAGTTATGTCTTTCTTTTTTTTAATCTTGATTTTCTTTTTATATTTATTCTTGTATAAGTGGGTACTAGATTATAATTATTAGAAGCTGTAGGAGTTCAACAAAGTTTGTTTATTGTTGCCTCTTTTAAGAAAGTGGAACTATACCACCCCTCAGGGGAAACATTGATAATCTTTGTGAATGTGAAACCCATGTTCTCTGCTTTGGGTCTAAATTCTCAGGCTGCCTAGGCTAAAAGATATTCATAATTAATATTTACCATGAACTTGCTTTGTGTTTCTGATTTAACAGAAATGGTTCTCCTCCACGTGAAGCATGGTGATGAGAGCCAGTTTCTCCTAGAGACAACAGGTAGCGTTTCCATCGAAGATTTAACACAGGAAGTGACCAGGATCTACAATGGAAGACTCAAAGTTCAGCGTGTTTGTGCAGGTGTTAAATATGTCAATTTATTATTTTGTCCTTTTGCCTAAACTTCTTAGGTAAACATATGACACTTAAATAATAATTTAATAATAATAATTTATTAAATGTATATGCCACTCAATTCCCAGCAACTCTGGGCCATTCTGCATGTGGAATTGTATTTTCAGTCCTCTTTTTGTTTAGTCTTTGTAGCCATTACACTAAGATCATATTGTAAGTGAAGTGTCTGAATATTGAAAACCTATTCAATCAATTCTATTCTTAGTGTACATTTTTCTACAGTTTTTCTACATGGATTACCGTTGTGCTGCATTTTGTGCTTTCTTTCAGTCTGTAATTAACTGCTGTCTTTTTTTCCAGATATACATTTTAAAAATATTTACAATATATCCAAATATAAAGGCATTATAATCTTTTAAGCATAATTATGTAATAGCTACACTGAGTAATTTACAATATGATAACATTAAATACCTTGTAGAATTTGTTATAGTGCTATAATGGTACTTTTATTTTTACAATTTCTAATGAATAGACAGTTAAAGACATTTTGTGTAACTTTGCCATATCCCACTCTTTGATCTTTTGAAAGAAATGGAATCGCTGGCAGAACACGGTATTTTCTTACCTCCTAACATGCAAGGTCTGACAGATGAACAAATTGAAGAGCTAAAGCTGAAGGATGAATGGGCAAAAAAATGTATTCCCAGTGGTGGAAGCACATTTAAAAAAGATGAAATTGGACGAAGAAATGGTCATGGTAAATAAATATACATATGGATACATATCTTTTTACATTTAAATAGCCTGCCAGATTTTATAAAAAATATATTGGCATATTGTACACTTTCAAATTTTGATTAATAAATATCAACAATAGATATAGCATTATGTGCCCTTTGTGCAAGAATGTTCAGCCAGCAACAGAACTTAAATCATGTTTCTAAAATTCAGTAGTACTGGGAAAGGAAAATGCTCTTTAGACTTTTAACACTAGAATGTATGGTTCTGGTATTAATCTGTAAAGCTGTTCAGGGCTTGACACCTGGATATCTTCAGGATAACCTCCTAAGTACCTTTTAGATCTTGTAGGAAACAGCTGCTAATGATTCTACATTCCAAGAGGGAAGAGGAGCTGGGGCTAAGTGGCACTGATTCTCTAAAGCAATGTCGTTGCTTTCGATTGGCCTCCCTTTAGAGATCAGACACACCCACTCCCTACTGGCCTTTAAGAAGCTATTAGGTAATTAAAAACCAAATTATTCTAGAGAGCATTTTCATGATTTTATTTACTTAATTTATTGCACCATTTTTATTATTTCATTCTTTTATTTATTGTCATGTCAGTATTCTACGTAGATGTTTCAATAGTCTTTTTCACATTTCCATTAATTCCATCTTGCTCTAGGGCCTATATTTTAATGAGATACACGAGCCATAATCTGCTAACAAATTCCAAGATACAGTGGATTTTGCAGGTGTCCCTCTCATGCCTCACCAATCACTTGCCATCGTTCTCCTTTTTCTCCTATCCTAGCAATTCACAGAAGCTGGTAGTAACCACTTGATTCCCTTCACTGAAAAGGGGCAGTCCTACTCTCCTTTCAAAAGAGTTAGTCAATAGCTCATTGCTTTCATTACTGTTGGTACTTCTCTGTGGAAGAGAAAGGAATATGGTACTTCTCTAGCATACTTGTTAATAGCAAGAGATGGTATTAAGCTGCTTGGCATGCTTACTACTGGTCTGTTCACAGTTCTCATTTTCCATTCCCCTTGCCATCTGGGGCTTATGTATGTCTTATGTTGATATCCTCCTACAAAGCTTCCAGGATCTGTGCTGTGCTAGGTAAGATGGCATTAGTATTGCCTTCTTTTTATTTTATATCCCACTGCCAACATATTTCCTTAACATGTTATATTGACAGATGCAGTGCTTATATGGAAGTAAGTTACTCAACAGAGCCTGCTACTGTCTGCATTTTTTCAATGCTGTATAAGCTTTCTTTCTTTCATTTAACCCTTATTCTTTGTTACCTCTGGCTCCAATATCATGCTGTGCTTTTTTTTTTTGTAAATTAGGACTAATCCCTGCTGAGATTTATTCCTGAATAGACGTGAATTTCTGTTCTGCATTCTTGCTCAACAGCTTTGTTGTTGGCTCACTTGAGCCAATTCCACACTCTCACTTAACTTTCCTAATGGGAATAAGCTAAAATCCAGAGTCTGTAAATCACTGAATTTTGCGATCTTTTAAAATTAGATAGAGTTTAAAATAAGATAAGAGCTTTGACAGTACAGTAGCTGATTTTTAACTTAGATGCCCTTTCAGTGCAAAACATTTATATTTCTTCCATAGTTATATAATACTGTATACTATTATCTGCATATTTCCTTTTTTAAGCTCCAAATGAGAAAATGAAACAAGTTTTAAAAGCAACCATAGAAGAAGCTAAAGCACTGATATCCAAGGTAAAATACAATATTGTTGGTACGAAATATGATATGTTAATTTGGATGTAATTTATGAGCCAGCATTTCTATGTTATCAGAAGCAATTGTTCTTAGGCTATTCAAAGAATAGCAGGAAGTCTCATTCTAAAACAAACCACCTATTGAAGTAAGCCTGTATTTATTTAATTGCAGTTTATTGAGTAAATAACCACAATCCCTGGGTTCACACCTAATAAATCATAAAAGAGGTTTTTTAAATGACTTATTTATCTGTTTGTTTATTTATTTGGCTATCACATAAGGTATATACTGCTTAATCACATGAACACTAGGTGGTTTACTACGATAAAATCCATAATAATAAAAAAGCAAAACATCCTTCAATCCCCCATTAAAATTTGTCCTTTCAAACTTAAAAATTAACCAGAATTAAAATTCACCCAAAACAAAAAGGCAACCTAGCTCCACCACTTGCATCTGAATACCTATTAAAACAGCTCTGTTTTTTCAGCTTTTTTGAATGCCGGCAACTTGGGGATAAGGTGTTTCATAAAGCTAATACCTTCAGAGTTCAAAAGAAACTCATTAGACTTTAACACTGCGTCCTATCCAGCAAATATTATTCAGTGAGAAGTGTAAGGTTCAACACTTAGATAGGAAAAACCAGATGCACAGGTACAAGATAGGTGGTATCTGCTTTGACAGTAGTAATTGTGAGAAGGATCTGATTGTTCTGGTATACTACAAATTAAGCATGATTCAGCAGTGTGCTTTAGTTCCCCAAAGAAACAACGCAGTCTTGGGCTGCATCAACAGAGGTAGATTGTTGAGATCATGGAAAGTTATAGTTTGGTTTTGTGCTGCATTGGTCAGACCATACCTGGAATACTTGCCTGGTGGCCACAATGCAAGAAGGATGCTGAGGAACTGGAAATAATAGAGAGAAGAGCTACAAAAGTGGTGAGGGGCTTGGAGGCTAAATCATATGAAGAATGGTGAAAAGAACTGGTATGTTTAGCCTTAAAAAGAAAATGCTAAGGGAAAATGTGATAGCAGTCTTCCAATACTTGAAGGATTGTCACAGGGCTGTCTCAGGCTGCCAGAGTGCTGATTTATTCTCCATAGTATCCAAGGATAGGACAAGAACAAATGAGTAGAAGCTTTACAGAGAGAGATCGAAACTCAAATAAGGAGGAATTTTGTTACAATGAGCACTATTAAGCAGTGGGGCAGCCTGCCTCTTGGAACCATGGGTACTCCATTCACTGGAGGTTTTCCAACAGAGATTGGATGGCCATTTGTCTGGACTAATCTGAAGATTCCTGTCCTGGGTAGGGGGTTGGACTAGAAGAACCCCAAGGTCCCTTCCAATCTTATGAATCTATGTCTGGGCTATTATAGGGGAGGTCTGTATCCAGGCCCTCATCCTCTTGATGTCTTGCAGACAGGGGATCCTTTTTTCTGGGGTAATCACACAGGATATGTGAGTTATTTGAAAGAAATGGTGCTGAAGGAAAGCAGGATGCAAATAATGTAAGGCTTTTTAGGTTAATACTAGTGCTTTGAATTTGACCTGGAAACAAATTGGCAAATAATACGACCACTGTAGCACAAGTATTATGCTGCTATCCCTGAGAATAGCCAGGTTGCCACCTGAACCAACTGCAGTGTCCAAATCATTTTAAAGGTAGTCCTATGTTGAGTCTGTAGCCTAACTGGTGGTAAGAACATGAGTCACTATCATAAGGCTTCCCACTCTGAAAAGGATTGGAGCTGACACACCAGATGAAGCTAGGCAAAGGTTCATCTGGTCACCATCTCTAAAGCAGAAATTGTGACTTTGAGAGAAACCCCAAATTGTAGATATGCTCATTCAGGGAGTGTATGACCCCATCCCCAGCTAATCTCAGAATTGAGAGACAGCCAGCATCCTGTTGCTTCTTTTTAATGCTATTTTCTCTCAGCTTCCAGATACTGACTAAGGACCTCTTCTGTGCTTCCAGCTTGGCTTGGCTGGTGATTTATACTTCAACACATGCTGGCAAATGAGCTTGGGTGTTAAATAGAATGGAGGAGAGGGCTCAGTCCTGTGCTGCACTAGCAGAATCAGAAGTTGACCATTCTTACCTCATGTCTACCAGATGGAACCACCTACTTAGGAAGTAGAGGAAAATAGTATCCCTGATTCCCAACTCCTGCAGACAGTCCAGAAGGATACTATGGTCAAACCTTGCCAAGTGGTTTAGTAGGACTAGGATGGATATACTCACTGTATAAGTCTTGATGCAGTTCATTCAGCAGTGATCAATGTAGTCTTGGTCCCATGCCCAGTTCTGAACCTTGACTAAAGATGATTCAAATAATCCATTTCGTCTAAGATCCCCTTTAGCTAAAGCCCCACCATCTCCTTCAAATTCTTTTCCCAAGAGACACTAAGGCAAAACTAAAGAAGCCACATAATGTGAATATTATACAGTGGAACCTCGAGTTATGAATTTAATCCGTTCCGTGACTCTGGTTGCAACTCAAATTGGTCGCAACATGAGGCAAATTTACCCATAAAGTTCAATGTAATTACCGTTAATCCGGTCCGGCGTCTGCGGACCACGCATCAGGCGGAAAAACGGCCGCGGACCACGCGGCAGGGCAGAAAAACGGCCGCGGACCACGCGGCAGGGCAGAAAAACGGCCGCGGACCACGCGGCAGGGCAGAAAAACGGCCGCGGACCACGCGGCAGGGCAGAAAAACGGCCGCGGACCACGCGGCAGGGCAGAAAAACGGCCGCGGACCACGCGGCAGGGCAGAAAAACGGCCGCGGACCACGCGGCAGGGCAGAAAAACGGCCGCGGACCACGCGGCAGGGCAGAAAAACGGCCGCGGACCACGCGGCAGGGCAGAAAAACGGCCGCGGACCACGCGGCAGGGCAGAAAAACGGCCGCGGACCACGCGGAACGGGCAGAAAAATGGCCGCGGTCCACGTCGAACGGGCGGGAAATGGTCGCGGACCACATGGAACGGGCGGAAAATGGCCCCGGATCCGGGTTGTAAGTCGAGGCGAGTTCACAAGTCGAGGTAAATTTTTGGGGCCGGAGCTGGGCGTATCTCGAAAAATTCGTAAGGAGGGGCGTTCGTAACTAGAGGTACCACTGTATTATGTGAAAGGTTCTGTTTAATTTAGTTCATAACTAAGTTTGGTCATGAACAATAGTTGTGGTTCTAATATTGCATACTGTCCAAAGAATTGTTATTAATTTTTGCATATTTGAGAATTGTTTTAAAATAACTGCAAAAGAAAATATGCTTGCAAATATTATTGCTCATAATACCCCTCCATTTAATTTGGCTTTTTGTTGTTGTTGCCAGAATAGGATAATCAGTAACTATATGTTTATAGTTTATACACTTATCAATATTTATACACTTTCATAATACATATGAAGTCCCTTTGGACAGATATATTTTAACTGAAATTATATTGCTATAAATATAAAAGGGCAAAATAACCAGCTGAAATCACCAGCAAGCCCGTTGCTGTTTAGAACAATGAGAGAAATGTTTAATCCCCATTATTTTTCTTCAAATAATCTCTAAACATCAAGAGATGAAGTAATGTTTCTTGTGCACAAGGAATCCCCCTTCTTGCTTCCTACTCACATTGGGAGTAATTATGTCAGTAATATCAATAATTGTTAATTTCATTAGAAAAAGCAAGCAGATGGCCAGTTTTTAACAAGTGTACAAAATGTTTAATATAATTAATTCTGAATAGATTATAAATTGGTACTAGATAATGCTAATGGAGACAAAAATATTATTTAACAATGGGAAAAATAATTTTTTGTTACTTGACTTTATTTTCATACCATGCTCATTGTGGATTTCAGAGGAAGAATTCTTTAATTTATTAATTTGCTTCTCTCGGTATTGCAGAAACAAGTGCAGACCAATGTATGTGTTACTACCAGTATGGTGAAAGATGCACTCGACCAGCTCCGAGGAGCTGTAATTATTGTTTATCCAATGGGGCTGCCTCCATATGACCCAATTAGAATGGAGTTTGAGGATAAAGAAGATCTGTCAGGAACTCATGTAATCATTAGTTTTTGATTTTATGTTTCTAATTTAGAAAAAATATTGTTCTTCCTAGAATGAAAAGTTTGAGATGCTTGGAAAATGTAATTTATTCATTATCCATGTGTATATTTGGCTTCTATATGGCTGTACAGTATGTCAAAATTTTACACAGTGCTATATGTTTACATTAAAAAAGACCTTTTCCCCTTGCTACTTCTTCATTGCAAAAAAGTAATCTTTCCTTTCTGTTACCTCTGCTTGGTAACTGGGACTGTTAAAAAAAATCCATCTTAAAAAGTGTTATGTATTAGACTTGGAAATCAAAGATAATGCTGAAGATTTTATTGAAAAAACTGGTGATGAATTATGCCATCTTTCGTCACTGTTAAACCCAAACATTTTTAAGTCCTCGTATTTCCTTCACAAAGAGTTAGTTATCTGATAAGCAAAAATCACTTCACTGATAATAGTAATGCTAACTGAAAGCCAGATCATAATAACAAAATAAAAATATACATCTGCAACTTCCCCAGGTAGTAATACTCCCAATACTTAAACATTGCACATTTGTTTTTGAAGAATATGTGTTTCATGGTACCAGTACCACTAAATACATAATATACAGTGGGGCAAAAAAGTATTTAGTCAGCCACCAATTGTGCAGGTTCTACCACTTAAAAAGATGAGAGAGGCCTGTAATTTTCATCATAGGTATACCTCAACTATGAGAGCCAAAATGAGAAAAAAAATCCAGAAAATCACATTGTCTGATTTTTAAAGAATTTATTTGCAAATCATGGTGGAAAATAAGTATTTGGTCACCTACAAACAAGCAAGATGTCTGGCTCTCACAGACCTGTAACTACTTCTTTAAGAGGCTCCTCTGTCCTCCACTCGTTACCTGTAGTAATGGCACCTGTTTGACCTTGTTATCAGTATAAAAGACACCTGCAGACCTGTAACTACTTCTTTAAGAGGCTCCTCTGTCCTCCACTCGTTACCTGTAGTAATGGCACCTGTTTGACCTTGTTATCAGTATAAAAGACACCTGCAGACCTGTAACTACTTCTTTAAGAGGCTCCTCTGTCCTCCACTCGTTACCTGTAGTAATGGCACCTGTTTGACCTTGTTATCAGTATAAAAGACACCTGCAGACCTGTAACTACTTCTTTAAGAGGCTCCTCTGTCCTCCACTCGTTACCTGTAGTAATGGCACCTGTTTGACCTTGTTATCAGTATAAAAGACACCTGCAGACCTGTAACTACTTCTTTAAGAGGCTCCTCTGTCCTCCACTCGTTACCTGTAGTAATGGCACCTGTTTGACCTTGTTATCAGTATAAAAGACACCTGCAGACCTGTAACTACTTCTTTAAGAGGCTCCTCTGTCCTCCACTCGTTACCTGTAGTAATGGCACCTGTTTGACCTTGTTATCAGTATAAAAGACACCTGAAATGGAAGACATACAAGACCACTGATAATCTCCCTCGAGGTGTCTTTTATACTGATAACAAGGTCAAACAGGTGCCATTACTACAGGTAACGAGTGGAGGACAGAGGAGCCTCTTAAAGAAGTAGTTACAGGTCTGTGAGAGCCAGACATCTTGCTTGTTTGTAGGTGACCAAATACTTATTTTCCACCATGATTTGCAAATAAATTCTTTAAAAATCAGACAATGTGATTTTCTGGATTTTTTTTCTCATTTTGGCTCTCATAGTTGAGGTATACCTATGATGAAAATTACAGGCCTCTCTCATCTTTTTAAGTGGGAGAACTTGCACAATTGGTGGCTGACTAAATACTTTTTTGCCCCACTGTATATATAGACATAAATATATATCACTATTTTCTTTCTTTCTGTTGCTATTTTCAGGGAAATCAACAGGTTTCTATTGATTCTGAAAGTTCAATAAAATGTGTTGGCAGGGAGTACATGATAGTACAGGACAAGTTGCTCCCACCATTCTGCAAAAAAGAAACATATAAGTTCTAATATGTGTGTGTGTGATAATAAACTTGGTTTCAGTTACTGATGATTTCTAGTAACTGAATGACAGGTGAGCAGTTCACTTTTTGAGGGTCTCTTATATAGCCCCCTCCCCCCCCAAATGTTCTAGGGAATCTTTCAACCATTCAGAGCAGATTCAAAGGCTATGAAGGGTGGTACAGGGAAGAGAAGGAAGAAGGTCTGTTGTGTGAGTAGACTTCTGCTCATGTGCCATTGGATTTTGCCTACTGTAAAGCTCAGTTTGTTACAGGCTGCTCTTGAGATTATTGAAGAACCAGAGGCACAACTGTGGTGGGCAGCAAAGGAACTGAAAAGAACAAAGCAGCTTTCTGACTACGTTGGCAAAAATGAGAAAACTAAAATTATTATCAAAATACAAAAAGTAAGTATAAGTGAGAGTTTTTATATGAGTTTACATTGGGTGTTTGTCATCCAAAACCATACCTTTGCCAGATTTATAGTATTTCAGATTTTATTATATTTTTTATATTTCTTATGCTGATACAGGTAAGCATGATGTTCAAAAGCAAGGCAGACCTCATTTACTGCTATAAAAATGATGAATAGGATAATCATGTTTCTGCACTAAGGACAATATTGTGGCAAGCTCTCCCTCTGCCCCAGACAAAAGGTAGCCAAATTTATCTGCTGGATATCTCACAGTACAGAGAAACATGCCTCTGTAAAGCGGAAGTAGACAACATAATTCACTCTACATATTGCTGAATTACAGCTCCTAACATCCTTCACCATTCACCATGATGACATTGCAGTTCAACTTCTGGTTTACATGTTGCCTATTACTGCTGTAGAGGGTCTAGTGTCTGCCTCTCCTCACATTTTACTCATCATAACAGTAGGCACTTCATTGTCAGATTAAGGCAGGTTGAAATATACTAACTACTCTTATGTTTCCAGAAAGGGCAAGGTGCTCCAGCACGTGAACCTGTCATAAGTAGTGAAGAACATAAACAGATGATTCTTTTTTATCACAGAAGGCAAGAAGAACTCAAGGTACCAGGTGTTGTTGCTGTGTTTATTGAAAACAAGGTGTTTTCATTTTATTTGCAATATATGACTCATTTTCTTTTCATGTTTTCCAGAAATTAGAAGAAAATGATGATGATGATTCATTTTTAGATTCCGAATGGGCTGATAGTCATGCCTTGAAAAGACATTTTCATGGTGTCAAGGATATTAAGTGGAGACCAAGATAAAGCTATTTCTACAAGAAAAAAAATTGTTTTAAGATAAACTAACACAGCAAGTTATGTTGGTAATATCAGTGCACATTTACTCATTAAAATTTATATAAAATATTAGATTCTATTTTATTTATAATGTTGGTTGCATTGTATTCTATAAATCTACATTACTAGGCTTGTCGACGAGAAGTTCGCATTTTAAATAGTTTATTGACATGGCTATCGTATTATTATTAAAAACTAATATTAAAAACAATAAAAATTTTCCCTCTGCTTACATTTTTTTTCAATCTAAATAAAATTATTCTAAATAGTATGACTTACCTTAGAGAGAACTGTGTATTTTTTTTTAACAGGGAAACTAAAACTTTGTAGGAAAAAACAGGTTGTATACCAGCTAAGTTTCCAGAAAACATTATGCCTTACCAATATTGGGTTTAGAACATCATGTTAATGCAGTCTGTAAGGAATATCAGACAGTCCAGTTGGGCAGATGCAATCCTTGAATAGTACTTGTAGGAGAACCTGACTGCACTATGCCTTGTTTGAATGATACAGTTTCTACTCTGGCAAAAACCCACCAGCAAGACATGAAGGATTTAGAGGGATTTTTAGCGCAAAGTGCATTAGGAACATCAATTTAACAATAGCTCAGTAGTCAGCATGGGGGGAGAAAAGGGACAACACAGTAAGACTCCAATTAATTATCTGGGGTTCATGAAAGCTTGTTCTTTGAATGGTGCAAAGGGACATTAGTCATCTGTGAAGTCTCACTGAAAATGTTTGGCAACGCTAGTTATCTCTTCATCTAACCTATTTCAGAGTTGTTATGAATAGTATAGAATGTATAGACAAATGGAGAATTATGTATCCCACCATGAACTCCTTGTTTTATTTATTTATTTTTACACACATACACACACGTTTTTAGAATACCTAGTTTACCCTGCTTGAACTCTCAATCAGAGGATCGATAGGTTGATCGCTGTTTTTGTCTTAATAGAGCCTGCAATCTGTTCTAAGCATACAAGGCATATTTAGAGAAGATGATATAAATTAATTTACAGATTGTAGAACTGAGCAGAAATGGAACTGAACTAAAAACCATGTAGGGGACTTTATCTTCTACGGGTAATAATAGGATTTGGTAGGGGGGCTATTTTTTCATTTCCAACATTCACTTTCAACAGCAGTCCTCTCAAAATGTTTTAGTTGTATATTTCTAAATACATGGCTTTGCATTGAATCAAATGCAGTCCAAAAGTTAATAATTGAATATTGTACATGAGTTGGAGGGGACTATCTAGTTCAGTGTTTCTCAACCTTGGCAACTTTAAGATGTGTGAACTTCAACTCCCTGAATTCCCCAGCCAGCATCTTAAAGTTGCCAAGGTTGAGAAACACTGATCTAGTTAATCTAGTTCAACTTCCTGCTCAGTGCAGCAATTCACTACACCATCCTGTTTGAAAACTTTTAAATACACTGTATTTTGTCCTCTGTTTATGAAAATAGCAATTTTTTATTCTCCCTGAAAATATAACATCTAGCACACAACTAATTTCTTTAAATTGTAAAAATTATGAAGAGTCATTGAAGGAAAATAATATGACTATTAACTTTCCTTCAGTGACTTCATAATGTTCATTGTGCTTGAAATTCTTATTGATTTCTCAACATCCTTCATAAGAGGGAAATTTTACCAGAGTTCTTCTGAAACATTTTAACGTCGTTTTAACTGTGATGAAAGTCCTTCATTAGCAATTTAAGTTTGCAATTACCCAGTTAAGGTCCTTCCGTGTCCTTTCCTAGAAAAAAAGGAAAAAAGAAGAGGAAGAAGAAATCTCTCACAAATTCTCCAAGAGTTTGTTTACACTGGAGACCAGCACACAGTTCTGTCAAAACACAGACTGTTTATAACAGTATTGAAGACAGCAGAAGCAAACCCTAAAAACAATGAGGATGCATGTAGAATTATGTCAATTAGAATCTACATCTGATTTGATATAGTAAGATACTTGTTAGGCTTTAGTAGTGTTTTTGTGTGTTAGGCCAGATGTGGGGTGGATTCTATGAGATGAGGTGGAAGTACAAAAATGATGCGTTGATTCTATGTAGCTACAGATAAATCTTTCATGAAAGGAAGAGTCAATCTATGCAGCAAACTTCATTGTTTTCTTATTTTAAGAATTTTTTTAATTAAGGTACATAACATTTTTTTAGACATAATGCTATTGCACACTTAATAGACTACAGTATAGTGTAAATATAACTTTTATATGCCCTGGGAAACCAAGAAATTTGTGTGACTCACTTTACTGCAATATTCACTTTATTGTGGTGGTCTGGAACCGAACTTGCAGTATCTTTGAGGTGTGCCTGTACTTGGTTAGATGGGGTTCTGTGTAGTTGATTATTTTAGTGAGTTACTTTTTATGGGTTTATCTCACACTGGCCTTACTTCCCAGAGCCTATGCTCATCTGTAGTGTCTTTCTCCAGTCTTATCAACATTCCTGAGCCTTCTTAGTATTTTGTGGCTGAACTAGCAGGGTTGATTGTTTCTCAAGCCCCTGAGAAGGTGTTTTAGGGAAGGGAATGTTTTGCTTGTCTTAACCAATGCCATATTTCTCCTGCATTATTTTCTTGAATAAAGTGAATAATAGTGGCATTGATCAGCTCCATAGTTTATAGATGAAGCACATTTATAACATCCTGTATGGATGAGAAAATATATATATCTATGCAAGTATACCTGCTCATGCACTTGTTCAAATGGATATTTACATTCTTAATAAAAATGCATAGACAAAACAGCCAAATATGCCTAGGATATATTGCAATCACTTATTAAATATCTACTTTTAAAAGTGCGCTCTAGTAATCTGTCCAGAGATGTTTGTCTTCTGAGCCAACAGTATTACAGTTCATAGTTCTGTAAATACTGAGTTATGATGAGGGTTTCAGTGTTTCAGGGAATCAAGCCTCAGGCAGGTTGAGGACTGGAAAAATGCCCGGGCATGTACAGAAATAAGAAATAGGGGGCCAAAAGACAATGGAGCTGAAAAAAGAAGGCAAAGTAGAGAATGAATTGAGACAAAAATAATTTGAAGGACAAAAAAGTGCTTTGAGATAACTAATTTAAAAGGAGATTCCAAAGAAAATGTATCTGAATTAAGGGAAGGATGGCCCCTATGAAAGTGAAGTGAGATAATAGCGGAGGGGATAGAGAATTGCAGGGTGGTTGATCAAGAGATGAAGTGACTAAAGAAAATGGGTGTTAGCTCTAACAGTGTTTCTAAAAGTGTCGGCTTCCACTTATTACTTGGATAACTAAACAGACAAAAATATACTGTCAGAGCAAGTTATAGTTTGCTGGAGTCTTTCAAATAATTTTTGAATTGTTCCACTGGGTTCATACCAGTGGAAGTGGCTTGCGGGGTAATTGATGTTACGCCCCCATCATCTTGAATGTTTTTTAGTTTTTAGGTATAGGGCTTGTTTCTGTAGTTTGATTTTTTAATTTTTTAATTAATTTTAATTAATGAATGGGGGTATTTATTGTTTAACTGTTTGTGGCTTTTACTTTTATTGTGAGCCACCCAGAGTCACCCACTGGGGGAGATGGGCGGCATACAAATTTAATAAATAAATAGACAGACCTACTGTTACATATAATAAATATAATTCAGAAAATATAATTGTGCCTCTTTTGATCATCACATTTATTTGTGAAGGAATCAGATTTATTATGTAGGATTATGAAGTAACATTCCAAACATTCCAAAACAACGTTTACTAAATAAAAGTAAGTTAGGTGTACCTCTAAATCCCTTTTCACATTTAAGAAGTGACTTATGCTTCTTGGAGATATACTGGTAACCATTGAATTGCCATCACCTATAGCAGATTATCATTATGGTTGGTTGCACAGTCAGCCAGATATTTAGACTGGATTTGGCATTTATGTCCACCTACTGAGTCCTTCCCAAGGACCTGGGATAGGCAGATGTTGCTGTTTAATAATATTAAAGGTATCGTCACAGGATGTAAGCTGTTCCAGGTAAAGCTGCCTTTTGCAATTGACTGACAGTGATTTTGTCAATGCCGGTAGTCTTCAAGCGGTGCTTCAGTTTTGGAATTCTGGGATGTTGTGTGGCAGATGTTTGTTTGAATTCTAAATTCTTTCTTACACAATACAACAGTCACAACAATGAATGCAAATCAATCTTGCTTCCTATCTCATTGAAAATAAAAGTTAGAGAATGTAACTTTGGTGTATTAACTGTTGCAATGGGCATGTCTGCTGGAATTAATTTATCTCTAAAAGCAAACCAGCCTTGCTTGTGATATATGTGTCTGTGCTCACTTCTTTTGAAGAAGAGGAAAGGAGTGCTGCCACTTGGCCTTCTTCTTGCCAAGCGTACTGCAGAGGAATGAAGTGAGGGGACTGAGAAGTAGGATCAGGAGAGTAACAGGTGAGCCAATTGGCCTGGATCTCAAAATCCTTAGGTAATTAACTCAATTTCAGAAATATATAGAAAATAATACGGTAAGACTGCTTTCTATGACACATCATGTATTGTGCATGTAAGCATATCAATCCAACTAAAATTCTAATTATTGCATGCAGCAGTGTAACCTGTAGCTCCCCATCCTTCTTAGGAAAAATACACTTATTTGTATGTTTAAAAATTTCATATAAAGACTTCTTCATCCCCTTGATGTTCTCCTATTTATCTTTTGCATACTGAGTGTGCGTTGAGTTACTCCTACATAAAGATAAGAAATAGCCCAGTAACTATAGTGAGAGTATGTTATTAATCCAGACTTCCAAGTGCTTTTTGCTGTCAAGAAAAGATCCATTTGAAGATTCTATGGCGACCAAAAGTAGTTCTGAAAGTCTGTGTTCTCACATAACAGCGGCGTGGGAAATATGAGATTATTTACGACTGCTCAGGTACAGTCTAGTCGATGCTAGGTTTTATTTTGTTTCATTTTGTGATAAATGGTTCCATTTCTCCATTGAAGGGAGTTCTTGTCTCACATTCCCAAAATGGGAATGTTAGTTTGACGTTAGTTTGATGGTTTTGCAGTTCCCCCTCAAAAGCCAGAT